ATGGCGTCCTGCAAACCTTCAGGTGTTTTATATCTTATAGATAAAATCTATAGACACCAAACTCTGAATTCATCCACTACATTCACCACACTTCCACCTACCTAAAAAAAATACAATACTGTGCAATCCATATAACCCTTCATTACAAATGGGGATATTTCTTGTAATTGTGGTGATTATGGTTTATAGATTATTAAAACTTAAAAAAAGATTATTATAAAAAAAAAAAAAAAGCCAAATGCTGAAAATTCATGGTGTCACACCAAAATGGGCTAAATAATTAAAGTTCTCTTAGTCTGGGTCAGTAAGCAACACAGTGACGGGAAGATTGCTTCCTGTATAGACATGTTCATTGACAGCGTCCACAAGGAGAAGAAACCACAAAGAAACTGTTGGTTAAAACTGGAATATCAAAGTTTATTTATAAACAGTAGAGAAAAGAGGAAAAGGGCACAGGTAACATGGATGACCCCAGCCTTGAAAAGACTAGTTGACAAAATCAGTTTAAAGACTAAAACAAGGCTGGGTTCAGCTCATCAAGAGCAGATTCTTGTTAAGCTATCCTAAACCAGACGACATTAGACTCCTATCGAAAATAAAATCAGCTTCTTAGATAAAAATAATGTTGGGATTTTATGTGAAAATCAAGGTCTAATAGTTTAGAGGAAGTTTCCACAGTCTGTAATTATTTGGGTTGCCTTGTTGTTCCCCCTCTGCTGGTGTTGGACCATTATGTTTCTGAAATCCACAATCAAGGATCATCTACCAGGAAATTGTAGAGCACTTTATGCCTTTTCCTGATTTCATTTTCTAGCAGGACATCACAAAGGTGCCAAATGTTGGTTAAAAGACCATGGAATTACTGTACTCAGCAGGTCAGTAAAATTGCCTAAATATAATAATATAAATACCTGAAAAGGAAATAAAATGTATGCATTATTTTTAAGAGGAAGAGGAATGCGTTAGACCCACCGACGCAGATGAGCTAAAGGCCATTAAGAAAATAACCTGGGCTTCCGCTACTCAGGAGCAGTGCTACAGACTGATAGACTGCATGCCATGTCGCATTGATTCAGAGATTTATGTTAAAGGTTTCCCAGGAAAGGAAAGTATTGAGTTTTATATTTGCTTTTCCATTTATCTTAATTTATTTTCAAGTTTTCTGAGTTATTTTTTTTCTTTAAGAAATGACCATAAAACTATCACTTAAAATTTTTTTTCAATTTCTAAATTGAGTTTATTATTCTTTTTTGTGATAATTAATTCTTTATAAATCTCCTAGTGTCAAATTTTCTGCACTCCACTCATATTTAAACTGGATAATAAAGAAGCTGGTTATAAGTGTTGATGAAATAATTTCTTGACGATGAAAATATCAGTTGATGTCTTACATCAATTAACTGAGCTAACTTAGTTTTTCTAATATAGTTCAAGTGAGGGAATTGATATTTAAGAAACATGAACAGACTAGTTTAAAACCAGCCATACAAGCTGCAGTCAATCACTTTTATACAGTTTCAAATATTTGAACAGCTCTCTATCAGCTAGAATTCTGCCCCTTAAAGACCTGTTAGTCTGCCTCTAAAGTATCCACCTAAACTCCATTCATCATCCTAAATTAGATGCACCTGTTTGAGATCGTTAGCTGCATAAAGACACCTGTCCACCCTGTACAATCAGTGAAACTTCAACTAACATGGCTAAGACCAAAGAGCTGTCCAAAGACACAAGAGATAGTTTTGTACACCTCTATTAGGCTGGAAATGGCTACAGGGAAATTGCCAGCAGCTTGATGAAAAAAAGCTCCACTGTTGGAGCAATCATTGGAAAATGGAAGAAGCTAAACATGACTGTCAGTCTCCCTCAGACTGGGGCTAAGATCTCACCTTATGGGGTCTCAATGATCCTAAGAAAGGTGAGAAATCAGCCCAGAACTAGATTGGAGGAGCTGGTCAGTGACCTGAAAAGAGCTGGTACCACCGTTTCCAAGTTACTGTTGGTAAAACACTAAGATGTCATGGTTTGAAATCCTGCATGGCCGGGAAGGTTCCCCTGCCTAAACCAGCACATGTCAGGACCGGTCTTAAGTTTGCCAATGACCATTTGGATGATCCAGAGGAGACATGGGAGAAAGTCATGGTCAGATGAGACCAAAATAGAACTTTTTGGTCATATTTCCACTAACCGTGATTAGAGGAAGAAGAATGATGAGTACCATCCCAAGAACACCATCCCTACTGTGAAGCATAGGGGTGGTAGCATCATGCATCATTTTTTGGGGGTGTTTTCTGCATAAGGGACAGGGCGACTGCACTGTATTAAGGAGAGGATAACCAGGCCCATGTATTGTTAGATTTTGGGGAACAACCTCCTTTCCCTATTTAGAGCCTTAAAGATGGGTTGAGGCTGGGTCTTTAAATATGACAATGACCCGAAGCACACAGGCAGAATAACCAAGGAGTGGCTCTTTTAGAAGCATATCAAGGTTCTGGTGTAGCCTAGCCAGTCTCTAGACCTAACCCAATTGAGAATCTTTGGAGGGAGCTTAAACTTTGTTTCTCAGCGACAGCCCAGACTGATCTGTGTGGAGGAGTGGGCCAAAATCCCTCCTGCAGTGTGTGCAAACCTGATGAAAAACTACAGGAAATGTTTGAACTCTGGAATTGCAAACAAAGGCTACGGTAATAAATGTTAACATTGATTTTCTCAGGTGTTCAAATACTTATTTGAAGCTGTATCATAAAAATAAATGGCTAAAAAAATCATACATTGGGATTTCGGGATTATTATTTTTTTAGATTATGTCTCTCACAGTGGATAGCAAGTGCACTGACAATTTTAGACCCCTCAATGATTTCTAATTGGGAGAACTTGCAAAATAGAAAGGTGTCCAATACTTATTTTTCTCATTGTAAATGTGAATATTCCTTAGAATCTGCAAAATGAGACCACCAACTGGGATGATTATAATCACTTCACTAGGAATGTGTGCAGGTGAAGTTATCTTATGACACATAACTGTTTTAATTTGTGTAAACATCCCAGACCAGGAGACCCCTGCCATTTTCATACCAGTACCCTCTGTAAAGACAGAGTTCATTTAACTTATTTTTTAGTATATAATGATTTTCATTGAAATCAGAGGAAAGAGTTGAGCCTTATTAGGATAAACTGTTCGCACTTTCTCTAAAACACTTCGCCTAAAAAGGATGTGTATTTGGCATTTTTACAGTTTTTACAAAGAACTGGGGAAACAATGAGTTGTCATTTTCTATGAGAAATAAAAAAAAAGGACATTTTGAAAAAACACTTTCACCTTGCTCAAGCAGTTTACTGCCTATATATGGTCAAAGTCTTTTTTATTTACATAATTGTTAGCATACAATAATTTAGGATGTTTTTAATTTATATATTTCTGTTTATATTGATTTGTGTTGCAGAAATGTTTTGGATAAGACCTTTAAAAAAAAAACAAAAAAACTAACTTAATTTATTTGCAGTTTTATTTGGTGTTTGTACAAAAGTCGTGAAATAAAACATATATACAGGACATAGTACAACATACTTAAACAAATGTATATAAATTATTAACGAAATAGCTACATTTTTCTCAATAAAGAACTCTATTCAGTATCAGGATGAACATAACTCAATATTCTTGGCATAAAATTTCCATACAAATTGTACAAAATTCTGTACAGTTGAACAAAGCTGTGCAAAAACAGCAAACGCTCTCAGAGGCAAATCCTGTCCAGTGCGCAAAATGCAACAAACAGAAAAACATGTAATGAGATGTTGTTTCAGGCCAGCAGCTTCTTACAAATCTGTTCACAGTCACATAAAACCACCTATGGATAATAAGTCTATATTTGCCTCTAAAAATAAATTAAGAGACTGTTATTTCTTCGTCATCTGATTCTGAGAAGTCCGAGTGCTTGCTGGATATGGAAGGGGAGGAAATGCTGCACGTTGCCACACTCATTCTGCCTCTTCCAAACTCCTCTTCCTCCTCTTCTTCCTCTTCATCCTCAGCTGAGGACTTTTTACCCACGTCACTGAGGTCTGGGTGGGGGTTAGATTTGGTGGGCAGAGTCTGCTCACGGGATCCACCGGATGAGAGAAGCTCCCTTTCCTTGGAGTTGCGCCATTTCATCCGGCGGTTCTGAAACCAGATTTTCACCTGTGGAGGTGAGTATAGACGGTGAGTGGAAAAGCTTAACAAAATCTTCAACAGTGTCTTTATTTTCTAGTTGCAGAAATGTTTCAAACATGGATTTAGCCTTACCTGAGAGTCTTTTAGGCCTAGTTTAGAGGCCAGTTTCTTTCTGTCAGGCTTGCTGATGTATTTCTGTTTCTGGAACATTTTCTCCAGAGCTTTGCGCTGGACATCTGAGAACACTGCCCTCCTTAGCATTCCTCTGCGGGGTTTTCCTCTGGCAGCCAGAGGCCATGAAAAGGTCCCAGGGATGGGAACTACGGAAGAGGATGCTGCAAAGAAAAGAGGAAAAAAAAAAAAATTAACCACAAGTTGATCTTTGTAACCTGAGCTGACCTGAGCATTAGCTAATGAACATAAGCCAACTGGAGGCCCACTATAGCTGGTCCCTAATTTTTAAAAGTTTTAAGATGCCATCAATTGGAAAATTATCTAAGAGTTTTAAAATGATAGGCGTGCTGCTTTAAACATCCAAAGAAGTATTTTAATATTTATTTAATATCTTTGTTTCTCTATTTCTCTTGCAAACCCAATTCCAACATTAAGTGCATTAACCAATAATAAAAAACATCTACCTTTTAAATGTTAGGGTGTATACCAATCACATACTCTATTCCCAAGTTTGCTGTGCCTGTAGTTAAAACACTGTATAGTTCATGAATAAACAGGCAGAGAAATAACCTAACCACTGCTACTTTCAACTGAAATCTTTTAAAATTTTTGTTTTACTGGCTAGGGTCAAACTTTATCCTTGAACATTATTTAAAAAAAAATACACAATAAAGTTAGTTTTATACATTTTATATATTTATGTTCATTTTCACTTAAATTACATATGAATATCAAAATAGAGTAATATTATTTTAGTTTATTAAAGACAAATCTTAAAATACCTTATCTTATCTTACAGAGAAAATTCTCTGTATTTATTCAAGGAATTTAATATTTACTGTGCTATATTAAAACTTAAAAAAAAAAATACTATGTTGTAAAACAGAGCTCAACATTTGATAGGTTAGCTGGTGGTGCAGCCGACCAATCTCAGTATATAGCATTGCATTTTGTTTGTCATTATCAAAAACTTTAAAACTAACTAGTCATACTTTGGAAATACATACCACAAATTGACCTTATATCTATGCCTATATAGATATAGATATAAGGTCAATTTGTGGTATGCATATTATATTTATGTGTATATATATATGAAATGCATACATAGGAAATACATACCACAAATTGACCTTAAATCTATCTATCTATCTATCTATCTATCTATCTATCTATCTATCTATCTATCTATCTATCTATCTATCTATCTATCTATCTATCTATCTAATATATATAATGCTGTTTAAATAATAGGCCCATATGAATATAGTGACCTCTCAGTTCTCTGTTTCTGGATTTCAGCAATACGTCTCTGTTTTGAGTGAAATGGCACGAGGTGACTAATTAGCACATTGGTCGCTCCTCCAGCGCATTGGTATGTTAAAGAGGCAGCTCCCCCTAAAGGAGCCCTGTGAGGGCGGATAGAGGAGTTAATAAACCGTGAACGGTAATTGTGTAGTAATGAACTAACGTAAAAAAGACTGTGGACAGGCGGCGAAGGCCATATATTATGGCAACAAAAGGAGATTTACACTTTCAAACTAAACACAACTGCATACCAGAATACTGATGGCCGGCGGGGTGAAGAGAGGAGTGCGGAGGAGAAGGGGGGAATGGTTTCTTCTCCTTCTTCTTGCCCTCAAATCATTTTCATTAAATGAACACGAAAAGCTTTTCAGTGCGCTGGGCTTGTTTTGTTGGCATTCAGCTGAGCCCGTGAAAAGACTCCTTCTCTATTATGGTTAGTCTGAATGAAAGCGACTTTATAGACTTTTCTAAGGGATTATTCTTTATCTCAACTCGTTCACTGGCCCAGATAGAGAATACAGGAGCGTTTAGGGCACAGAGAGCGTGGATGGGGGGGCGTCACTGAAAGCTATACAGCATGTTTTAGGAGGGAGGGGGCTCAGAGTTGGAAGATTTTAGGTGAAATTTGCTTTACTTTTATTCCCCGCGGACGCTACTTGACTGTAGGTGCGCTGCGGACGCAGCAGAAGCAGGGACAACAGCCCTCCATGTGGTCCTGAGAGAATATTGAAAACTCTGAATAGCGCCTAATAGGGAAATTAGTGCATGACTGGTTCACGCCTTTGCCCCGTCTGGTAAAAGTCACTCTCCCGGGTATGTGGGTGGTTTGACCGGTGGGAGCTGACCACATTGGTCACGGTGCTGGGGGGCTTTGTTGCCACCGGGCCGCTGTGGGAAAACGCAGGGCCGGAGAAATGCCAAAAACGCCCCCCAATGGGAAGCAGGGGGACCATAACTCGCCACCCCGCCTCAAATTTAGAGCGTGACGATTTGGGATAATTGGTTAATTAGGGGGTGGGTGTGTTGTCCCTGACAGGGGCCAAAGCCAGCGGTCCCCATTAATGAGACAGTGATTTCTTCTTTTCTGGCTATTTGCCCCCTTTTCTTCTCACATTTCAGTTAAAATATATGACAGGGGTGACAGCAGTCTGCATTTCAATGCAATTAGTGTAGACAGAGAGCCATGAAAATGGCGCCTACCTGGTAGATATGGTGTCCTGAATATGGGGTGGAAGGTTCCATCAAAGCAGGGGACAGGAAATGTCTTGGAGTGGAGACTGTGGATTGCTGGAGGTGAGGATGCTGTAGAAAAAAAATGAGAGGGGAATTAAAATAAATAAAATTATGCATAAAAGCAAAGCAGCCTAATAGTCTACTTCTACTTAAATCAGTGTGTTTCCACTCACTGGTCTTTGGTGAGGGGGCCAGAATTGCGCTCACTCCAAACTTGAGGAAACTTGGGTCCTTTGAGGTTTTGGGTGAGCAGGGTTCGCGCGTCACCGCGGCTGTAGCAAATGCGCGCTCCGCTGGGGCTCCGTGATAGGAGGCGGAGGAGGTGGCGGCCGGCAGAGAGGCGCTCACTGGTGGGACGGTTCGGTTTAAGAAGGCAGCCGGGCGGCTTATCCGCAGCAGGTCCTCCACCAGGAAGCTGGAGTGGCCCGGAAAGGTGGACGGAAGAGCCGCGGTAGGCCGGTACAGCCCCGGGTATAGGGCCGGAGGCGCGATGACACTCGGGATCATCATGGTCCCCGTTAGGATAAAAAATAAACGATCACCACGAGAAAACAGAAATACTCCGTGAATCGGTCTTGTGAATGGCTGCTGACTGATCTGGCTTCGTCACTCTAGGGAGAGGAGTTTTATAGCAAAGTCCCCCCCTCCTTCAGCCCTCCTCTGAGAACTGACAGCCTCAACAAAGGAGCTCAACAAAGTTCTCCACATGGACTGCTTTAATGCCGCAGCCTGCAGCCCGCTGATTGGCTGGAGCACGCAATTTATGATTGCATTACTCTTCATAATTAAGCAAAACACAAAGTAAAGAGCACAAAGGGGGGCAGTCATCAATTCTGCAGGTTGGCCACTTTTCTTTCATTTTATTTCGTTTGGCAAAAACCAAATGAGCGCTTTGAAAGGCTATTTTTCGATTCAGCAACTTTATAAAAAGTTATTTTTTATGCTTTTTACATTTGCCTCAAGTTATAAAAAAGAATGCGCAAAAAAATATTATTAACTTGTTTTAAGTATATATAAAATAGTTTGATAAAATAAACAAGAAACAGAAAAGTAATTACAAATAAATCCACCCTGGGCAACAACTCTCATGTAAATCAGCTTTAGGGTTTCATAGGATTCTCAACACTCAATCTGGCTCTCGTCATGGAATAATGTCTTAAACGGATTTCTGCTATCAAAACGCTTTAACAGATGTGTTAAATATCATTCATTTTGCACGGCCGCAGCTCGGAGCGCGCAGGAGAAGTGTGCGGCCCGCACCGTGCATTCATGATCCTGTTAACCGTGAACTAGCTGTCACCCTCAGCTGCAGAGGAGGCGCCCCCGGGCCTTTCTACATTCAGGAAAAAAAGCACAGTGGATTTAAAATAAAAAAGAAAAGAAAAGCTTTATTTCTAAAGACGGTTTTGTTCTGCTATTTTAACCAACTGAATAAAAGTGCATCTGTGATTTCATTTAAAACGCATTCATATGAGCGGACACAGGGAGCCTCATATAAAACTCGTATTAAAACGAATTGGAGCCGGTTAGTCTTGTTCGGTCAGCTTTTCTCGTAAAACGCTTTAACGAGGTGAAATATCAAAAGAAGAAATTGATAAAAAAAAATAATAAAATAAACTGAAAATACTCAGAAAGCATTTAAACAAATTAAAATAATTTTATATTGCTTTATGAAATACATTATTTGAGTTAACCTTTTATTTTTTTAATCAACTGACTTCTTTGGAGTTTGTGCGCATAGTGCTGATTCTAATATAGTAAAAATATATCTTAAACATAGGCTATTTATCTTCATATGCATTTTAATTATTATATATAACTCATTGAAGATATTTGTATTATTCTTTGTTTATTTCGATTGTTGTTTATCACTTTTCCTTTTGGGGTTTTGTTTAAATAATAAGTAGGCTACCGCTGCATCAGCCTAATATGTAACTGACCAAAATCCGATAATTAAAAGGGAACGCCTCCGTGAAATGAGCCCTCAGAGTTAACGCTTATCACAGGAGCGCCCTCTTTATGCGCGCAGGACGCACTATAGCGCGCGTTGACGCAGCGCAGCGCTCCAAACTTGCAGCTACAACTTCAATGGGTAACGAGGCCTTCAAAGCTTTTTTATGAGCCCATATTCCTTTACTTGGCAGGCCGAAATCCTTCTTTTGTGAGCGGTAAGCAGATGGTTACCAGGAAGCAGGGGCTGCTCCGACTGACCGAGACTAATTTCTACGAGCTTTGCAAGCTTGCCACGTCCCCTGCTTTTTTTTTTCTTTTTTTAACCAAGCTCAGTTAAAAAAATAAATTAAAAAAACGAAACAGCTGGCTGCGACTGAATTAAAGCTGATCTCTTAAATATCACAAGAGTATCAACAACACTCCCTCCCTTTGGCGCGTAAAGATCGCTTATTAATTGTATATCATGAGTGTCTTCAGTAGCTTTCCATCTGTTAAGTGACGCGCATCTTAATTGCTGCCGTGGTATTTTTGTTGTTATTGATTTCATCGCAAATCTACATTAATCCCAAACCTAAAATGTATGTTCTCAATATACAACAAACGGATAAAAGCTTAATGATTCATAATTTCATTGACATTCAGCTTCATTTGAAGTGCCAAACACTAAAAATGCGTAAAAAGGGTATAAAATGCGCAGACAAAAAAGTCAGAATGTTTATTAATTATTGTATTTTTCTTCATGCCCATTTCTGTTTAACGTTTTGAATTTTTCAAAAATCTTCCAGCAGTGCCCTGCGCCAGCTTACCAAACAGAAGAACTTAACCATTGTTTTGGCTCCCTTTCTGCTTCGTTAAGTGAAAGGGGATTGAGTAAATATGTTATCCATGCATGAGAAGCTGTCAATGGGCCGTCTCATTGTGCTACGAGTTCGACAGGTGGTTGACTGTTTATTATTCCCCCATTATTTATCAATGACGTGGGCGCATCAAGGGAAGGAAACTCCCAGTTCTTTCACTTAAACGGGCTAAACAGATTGTGCTGACTGGTTGCTGCACCGGTCATCACTACACGACCCATTCAGACCCGGCCCAGGGTCGCATGAGACCCAAAGCAGAATATAACTAATCCCATTAATATGGACCTACCGCTTGTATAGTTCATGCTTAATAATTATTCAATGAGGCATTTAACACAAATTGTTATTTTCCCAGTTAGAGGCTCAGCAATGAATTAAACTAAATATGTGGCAATATTGATTCCATCTTATTTACCAAATAAGTCTGCTCATTTTTTGGGGGGTTATTTATTTATATGATGAATTGTAGATTCACTACATTTATAAGGTAAAACCGATTCCATTTCATACATTTAAGTTTATATCAGGTAGAGCAGTTTATGCACCAAAATGCAAACTTTACAATGATTACAAAAAAGATGTTGCAGCCTTAGATCTACATTATGTTTTACCTTTTATTATGCTAAAAAAATCTGGATTCAAGATTCACTGTGTGCTGAATATTTTAATATGCAACACAGAGGTAACTTTAATGTGAAAAAAGAGATAGCTATTCTTAAAAAAACCTAAAAAAAAAATAATATATGTTGTACTGAAGACACAATTCATTTAGTTGCAGGTGGTTTATTAAGTGTCTTTGTCAAAGTAAAACAGTACAGTACTTCCAACAGAGGTGCCCTTCAGAAACACTTCAGCTGAAAAAAACTTTCTTTCTATTAAGATCGGTATTTAAGGAAAACCACCCCGCCTCAATACATGAATGTCCGACATTCATTACTTTCAAAACCCAAAAAATAGTTTAGAATGAAACATATACATTTGCATATACTGCAAATAGCGGTGAGTCAAGTAACCGTAAATGCAAGAGCAGCACTGCTTCAACATATTTTGTTCAAGCAAAAATGCCAACCCAAAATATTTATTAGAAATTTAAGCAAAAAAAAAAAAGAAAAACCAACAGGGAAAACACTTTACTAGATTTTTTTTCCAACAAAAATCTTATTAAACTACTTGCAGTATCTTGTTAATGTTAGAATATGGATTATTGAGTGACAATATAAAATGTATACTGCTAAATGTATATTAACTTGATCTCCAAATGGGGTTCAGCAGTTAGCAAACAACAATAAAACAATGAAGCTTGACTACAAAAAGTTAAGTAAAATGTGGACTAAAAGAGATCCTAAAAGGGATTTTTATTTTTTAGTAGAGTTACTAAAGTAAATGTAACTTACTCTGACTGAAAAATACTGCTCTGTACATCGCTTATGTCTATGGCTACGGCTGTGAGATGGGCACGCATGGAGTCACAGATTAACAGCGATGGTGATGCGTGGAAAAAAACCTACTTAAAATCCTTACATACATCTCCCTCAGCCACGCTTTCATCAACTCCTCAATGAGGAGATGAGGAGCTCTGCATAAAGCGCATACCTGTTCTTTTATACACAATCCACGCCCACACTTCCCCCTTTAACGTTCTCATGGTGGTCTCAACAACGTCCGCAGTAACAACACACATAAGGCGCACCTCACTATAGGGCGCTCCGCACATTTTGAGGGGGAAAAAAAGACGTTTATATGCGCCTTGTAGTCGCGAAAATACGGTATTCTTATTCTCCTCTATTAATGAGGAGAAATATGCTACTCTTACTTTACAAAGGGACCTCTTATACAGCAGTAAACAACTTTTACAGACCAGGTAGGATTCCCGCAGGCATGTAGAGCACCATTTTCTCTCCAGTTTTCCAGCATTTTGCTTTAGAGTGCGAGTGTATTAAGAGTGCATTAAACCAGGGAGCCAGCTTTCTATTATTAAAGTTTTTCTTTTTCAAAGGGGTTGCATTATAAAAGGCAGTACAAAGAGAACTAGCAACCCCATAAACAAAATCCTCAACCTGTGAAGGAGAAAAAGCTAAACTTTTGCCCTGTCCACTGCTCAGCAACACAGAGGAGAGAGAAAGTGAAAATGATTCTTTAAAATTTACAACTGCACAAACTGATAATGATCTGCTAAAGTGAAACCTTCTTTTCGGGGAGGAGAACTCTGATAAAGTAATCCTGATGGTAATTAAAAAGTGGTCAGAGAGGACAGGGTTGTGAGGAAAAGAAATACTGTTATTTTTTAACATTCAATGCCATATGTCAGCACATGGCCCAAAGTATGAAGATTAGAATGTGTGGTACTATTTACATTTTGAACAAAGCCAATAGTGTCTAAGACAAGATCAAAGGCAACACTTAAGCTATCACCTTCAATGTCAGCATGGATGTCAAAACCCACTATGATGACCCTGTCAGTATTCAACACCAAATCAGATAGGAACTCTGAAAACTCATCTAAAAATTCAGAGTAAGGACCTGGTGGGTGATATAAAGTTACAAAAAGAAGAGGTTTTGTATGAGGGAAACTGAGGGTTAAATGTTCAAAAGAGTTGTAATTATTAACTGCCTTTGGAGTAATCAGTAAGTCAGACTGAAAGACTGTTGCCACTAGTCCTCCTTGCACAGAATTTCTGGGTATGTGAAAATTCAAATAACTAGAAGGAGTTGCCTCATTTATGCTCACATAATCATCTGGCTGCAGCCAAGTTTCTGTAAGGCATTAACTAGCAGACTCTTTGAAGAAAGAGATCT